CACTCTGTGTCACACAGTGGCCAAAACCCAGGTGCCATCAGGAGGTCCACCAGCAGGGCCAGAACTTTAGAAGCCCTCCCACTGTGGCCCCCCAAGCACGAAGAAGACAGAGCATCATTGCCCCAGACATAGTATTCCGTCTATACCTTGGGGCCAATAGCCACTCATGGACCTCTGCTCTGTACGCTTCTCCAGTCCCCTCTTGAAGCTGTCCGTGCTCGTAGCCGCCGCCACTTCCTGCGGCAGTGAATCCCACGTGTTCATGACCCTTTGGGTGAAGGAGGACTTCCTTCGATCTGCTCTAAGCCTCCTGCTCACTAATGCCACTGAGTGGACGACCGGCCTACCCCACCTACCGCTGCCTCTTTTGGGGATTTCAGAGAAAGGCCAGTAAAGCAGGGAGTGGGCGAAACCTTCAGTTCTGCCAACTCCATGGGGGCAGAGCTGCTCTTCACCTCAACATCACCCATCGAAATACTCACCAGGGCCGACCCTTCTTAGCTTCCAAGGTCTGATGAGATCACACCCCCTGGGCCATCCAGGCCAGGAAAGCAGGGCTATTTTTGGGCAGGAACGCACAGGAACGGAGGCTCCCGAGTTGGCCACGCCCAGCAGGAACTCATTAGCATAACAGGCCACACCCAACAGCAGAAACTCGTTAGGGGTGTGTAGCCTAACATGCAAAGGAGCTCCTGCTTCAAAAAAAAAGCCCTGGGTTTTGACTACAAACAAGGTCAACAGAATAAGAAGCAAAAGGTGGGTGTGGCCTAATATGCTAATGAGTTCTGCTGTCCGGGGTGTGGCCTAATATGCTAATGAGTTTCTGCGGCTGGGTGTGGCCTATTAGGCTAATGAGTTCCTGCCGAGCTTTTTCTACCAAATAAACCCTGCAGGAAAGAGATGTTCAGAGGTGGTTTTTGCCATCGCCTGCCTCTGCGTAGCACCCTTGGTATTCCTTGGTGGTCTCCCACCCAAATACTAACCAAGGCCGACCCTGCTTAGCTTCCCAGACCGGACGAAATCGGGCTAGCCTGGGCCGTCTATCTTAGCCCTACTGCACTGTGAACAGGATCTCTCTGCCCCGGGTCTTGGCAAAGCAGGTGATCTAAACGTGAAAAATAAAACAGCAAAACGTTCCGACTCGCTTCTGGAGCCTTTCGCTGTCCAAAGGCTGGGGCCGCCTAAAAGACTGGAAGCAGCCGAGGGCCCAAAGGACGGGGCCAGAGGGCAAAGGCGGGCCTTCAACACTTACGGGCGATGGAGTCCAGGTTATATTCTGAGCCTGGTTCGTAATCGCAGTAGATGTTCAGGAAAGGGCTGGCTTTATCTCCAGAATCCTGCGGGGAGGAGAAGAAAGCCAGGCTGGTCAGGAGTCATTTCACGACGAGTGTGGGTGCAAGTGTGTGTCGGGGGTGTGTGTGTGTGATTTTTGCCAATCCCCTCCTCCCACTACAGATTTTCAGCTCTTCCCCAGTTTGGTGTCGTGGTTCGGAGCGCGGACTATAATCTTGGAGAACCGGGTCGGAATCCCCACTCCTCCACATGCAGCTGCTGGTGTGACTTTGGGTCAGTCACAAGTTCCCTCAGAGCTGTTCTCTCAAGGGCAGTCCTCGAGAGAGCTCTCTCAGGCCCACCTACCTCACAGGGTGTCTGTGATGGGGAGGGGAAGGAGATTGTAAGCCACTCTGAGACTCCCTCGGGTACTGAAGGGAAGGGTGTAAATCCAATCTCTTCTTCTCTTCCTCCACATGCAGCTGCTGGGGTGACCTTGGGTCAGTCACAAGTTCCCTCAGAGCTGTTCTCTCAAGGGCAGTCCTTGAGAGCTCTCCCCCCTTCCTCACAGGGTGTCTCACCAGGCGCACTTCACCACTACACCAAACTGTGATAATTACGACTAAATAGGAATATTCAGAGGATGGCGGAAGACAGGAGGGCCTGGCGGGATCTTGTCCATGGGGTCGCGAAGAGTCGGACTCGACTGTGTGACTGAACAACAAAAGGAATATTCCTAACCTTCCAACCCCAAAAGGGGACATTTTCATCAGTTTTTTTAAAGAAGAGCCCCAAAGAGGACGGACACCGAAAAGAAGAGGACATGACCTCTAAAAAGGGGACATCTGACAACATCTGACAACTGTATTCCACTTGCTCTACCACAGACCAGCACAGCTGTTGATAATTATCAACAGCACATTCTGTTGATAATTAGTAAAACAACG